TATATATATATATATATATATATATATATATATATATATATATATATGTGTGTGTGTATATATATGTGTATATTACATATATACATATACACACATATTGAATAAGTGAATGTAACTAAAATGATTAATTTGTTATGTGTTGTAAAGTTAATAATCAAGAAAAATATGGAAATTAACATAAATAAAGATAAAGTTTTTATACTCAGAAATGCTGTCTGTATTTCCATTCTAATTATGTGTACAGATATGTACTAGACCGTGAAGGGTCTGTGAAACAAATGAAGCATAGCATTTTAACTATGTATATACAACACAGATCATAGCAGGATCCCAATCAGAAGCTAGCTCTCCAACATCTGTCAAAAGCCACTTGTGGCAAGGAAGGAATCCACAGTGGTTTTGCCAGTCTGGGTGGGTTTCCTATCGTCTATGATTCTACCATACACCACAGGCATTAGGTCAAAGCCATTGGGACAGAGGAGGGGGAACTCCTGAGGGGTGATCTCAAAGTAAATTGGGGGTGTGTGTGTCGCTGAGATGGTGTAATGGCTTTGTAAAGGTGGAAAGAGGGAACTGACTCCACAAAGTTGTACTTTGTGATGTCTCACAATAACATATGCACACATACATGTGTGTAAGTGGGAGTCTGCTGTGCCGAGTGCCGGTTAACTGTTTTTGTTGAATAACAGAAGACACTGTAGCTTTGGAAACACTTTAATTGTTTATTTATTTAGGGTATGTAAATACACTGTTGTTGATGTCTTCAGACACACCAGAAGAGGTGTTGGATCCCATTACAGATGGTTGTGAGCCACTATGTCGTTGTTGGGAATTGAACTCAGGACCTCTGGAAGAGCAGTCAGTGCTCTTATCCGCTGAGCTATCTCTCCAGCCCAAGAAACACTTTAATTCTTGATGAAAAATTCATCTGTTATTGTGAGTTTAAAAAACTTCCTGTCCTTTAACCCCCCCCCCACCCCCATCAAGATTACTGTTTTGCTAATGTGGCTGACACATGGTCTTTAAGGAGTTGAACTAATAACATACAGAATAGGCTTGCTCTTAAATCTTTCTCTTTTCACACATACATTTCATGTATGTACCTGTTTGTACACAAATACATATAGATGCACACATATACGTAATTAAAAAATAAAAGGATACAATACAATCTTATATTGTGTATTCTTTACTCACTAGCATAATTCCTGGTGCATTAAATATTCCTTCAAATAATTCCTAATATATTCCACCATATGACTGCAGTATGCTGTATTTATCTGCATATTTCCAACATGTTTGCACAGTAAAAAGCTTCAGTAAACAACTTGGCAGAGGGCCTGTCCATGTCTCTGTTTTCATACATCAGTTCTAGAGCTGGAATGAACTTGCTGAGGTTTTCATGAGTATTATCTAGGGCACATATAAATCCTTAAGACACTGCCTGGTACTCTGCAGGCATCTAATAACCAGACGCTATGACTGGGGAATCAAGTAGCTAGGACAGATGAACCAGGCCAGCAGAGGGCCAGTGAAGGTGTGTCCCACCTCACCAGCATGAATGGAACTGGGAGGTCTGGCTAAGGAGTCAGAGATATCTGGGCTTGCTCCTGGCAGCAGACGAACCTGCCAATAGCGAGAATGAGAACCAAACATGGCAGTTCCACCCATGGCACTCACAGGCAGGCCTTCCGGTTGGTCCTTTTAGGTCTTTGGTTGATATTGACTCTACCACTCATTCAGAGCCCTGTGCCCTGAACACTGTGGCCAGAGAACTTACACCATGACTCAAGTGTTCTCAAAGACTATTTATTAGCTAGTGTCACTCGTGGTACTGAAAGAATATACAATAAGAATCTCACATTTCTTGCCTGGGACATGAGCTGGACTGTACAGACGTGGCCTGTGGGGACTTCATGTGAGCTGCTGACTTCCCAAGCACACCGAGAAATGGCACTCACTTCTGGGAAGGGGTAGGGGCTGCATGGTGCAGTGGAAATTAGGAGTTTGTTTTTTTTTTTCCTCTCCAGAGACTACAATGGGACCAGGAGGCCAACCCTTCCCAAGCCTACCCAGTTGTACTTGTGAGCTGGTAGGCTGCTCCTTGAGTGAATCTAGTGCTCCTTGAGGATAGACTTGATTCCTTAGTATTGTCAGGTCACCTGGAGCAGGCAGATGGACAAGAGAAGATGTGCTTCTGGGATATGGTGGGATAAGAGCTGGGAACACTATAATGAGGGATTATTATAGCCCAGGCTTATCTAAAGAGACACTGCTCTGGAAGCCTGCACCATGAACATGAACATCCGGAGGAGGTGCAAAGCCTCCTGGGAAAGGATGTGGGATTGTGGCATTTCTTCAGAGGCTTAAGCTCTGGGCTCCTGTTAAAACCCTGACCCATGAATTCCGTGCTCACTGCGGGTCATAGCAGCACCCACCTGTTTGCTCACAGCATTAGAGCCTGCTGCTCAAAATGCTTATTTGGTCTAACAAAAGCCAGTTCTTCACAAAGGTTTTGATTCCATGTGGACAAGGGTGCAATTCTCCTTCCTTTCATATCTTCAACCACCTACTGGAAGACACCTGCCTCTGTCCTTCAGGATGCCCTGGAGGAACAGCCTGAGCGCCAGCAGGGCTCAGCTGAGCTTCTTTGGATGGCAGCTGGACAGGCTACCACTGGGAGGTCTGCAGCACCTGGCCCCTAAAGGGCCACCTAGCAGAGTCTCTCTTTCTTCCCCAGGCCCGGGAGCCCCACTGGCACAGCGGGTGAGCTGGTGCCTAGTCCTCCGGGATAGGCGTGTTGCAGTTGCCATGGTAGATCTTGATGTGGCCCTCACAGTGAAAGTATGCCTGGAAAACATCGCTGTAGCCATGGTCCCTCCACCAGGTGCACAGCTGCCGGTTCCAGGTGCAGTCCAGCACATGGAAGAGTTCAGGGTGCTCCATGCCAATCATGGTGAAGAAGTCCTGGTCCCCCAGGTGGCCCCGGAAGTGGTACTTGTCAGCAAGCTGCTGTACCCACGCAGGCTCCAGCAGATGGCCGTAGAGTGGAGACTGGCGCATGGCCTCCAGGTTCAGCAGCATTACTCCACTGTTGAAGCCAGGGAGTCCTTCAGGCGGAGGGTCCCCAACTCTGGTGTTGGGGTTCTCATGGCGGAACTGCCAGAAAGTGTGTCTGTGAAGGGAAAGGAAACAGTGTTATCCCAGTTTGGGATGAATGAGCTTACCCCATTCACTCGCCCCCCACCCCCACCCCGGGCCTTCACAATGACCCTCAGTTTCTCAGAAACAAAAGCAGAGGGATTCTGAGGTTCAGAATCTACAGCACATCGCCAGCAAACAGGACAGCAAGAGCCCGAATCCAGGTCCCTTAGCTCCAAGTCTCGGGTTCTCACATCTTCTATGACCTCAGGGTGACCATGTTGATGAGATCATTGTCACTGCCACTGAGGGTCTGTGGAGATAGGAGGTCCTGGATGACATGCTGAATGGGGGCTGATCCTCCCAGGAATCTTGTGCTCTGTGAGATGACCCATCACCACAGAGCAAGGAAAACACTGCCCGGGGAAACTGTAACTTGTCCAAAGTCACACAGCTGGTGAGAAGCAGAAGCAGAGACTGAACCTTAGGCCTTTGGCTCAAAGTTCACATCCTCCAGACGGCAGCAATGTGGAACTCCCCACCCTGTCTTTATGGTCTTGAGGAGGACATGACAACAGCGGGGGGTGGGGGTGTGGGGTGTGGATGGGTTGGGGGAGGAGAGAGTTGAATGACTGATGGTAAAGTCACAGGCAGCCAAATTCAGACTGATCCCAACAGGCTTTCCCCTTTAGAACAAGCTTCACTCAGGACCCTAAGCCTAGCATTCCTGAGGGGCTAGGTGGACGCTGGGGTTCCAGTGATAGCTCTCAGCAGATGCCCACAAGTTAGGGTGAAGGCAGCTGTATGGAGCCATGTGGGACTATGGCATCCAGAGGGGATGCCACTTCAGTTTTGACATTTCTCCAGCAGATTGGGAAAAGTCAATCTAGGTTCATGAGGTGTGACAACTGGAGGGATCCTTCTTCACCTTTTATCCAAATACTTCCATTTGGAGGTGGAAGGAAACATCTGGAAATCCTCCTGTGATTGACATGCTTAGAGTGCTGGTCACTCTGGTTTCTAGCCTTGGAAGCATCAAGACCTTAGGTGTTGCAGCATTTGGGGGATGGGGTCCCTAAACCTGTGCTCAAAGACAAGGCCCAGCAGCAGTACCTGAGACAGGCAGAGTGAGCCTGGGTCCTCAGGTAAAATGCCTCACACTGCTCACAGGATAGGACACAGGTAACGTGTAAGTTGTGGTCAAAAGCAAACCAGAGCCCCAGCATGCAAGATCTGCACCAGGTCCATTCTCAGTTCTAACACATGACCCCAGTATGGGGACAGACAAGCACTCTTTGTGGTCTCACATGTCAGGAAGGCAGCCGACAGCTTGATCTTGGTAAGAAAAAAGCAAGCCCGTGGGACACCAACCAATGGAGCACACAGGCTCATTGTTAGAGTCTGGTCAGGAATGGCTTGAGATGAGCGGGAGCAGGTTTTGATCTGGCGCCTGCCTGCTGATAACAGCCTTGGCAAAGATAAGCTTTGAGAGCAAGCTGAGAGATGCTGTGGTCTCCAGGCCACAGAACCTGCCATGATGGGTCACCAACATGTCAGCAGGTTACCATTTGACCCTACTACTGTCAGGTGGTTAATTTCAGGGTCAGGTGACAAGCCTCTTCCGATGGTGGGGACAGGACAGGGAAGAAGAGAGATCCACGGAGGCTCCATCCTGCCCACTGCTTCCTCCCTTCCCTTGCAGAAGACCCCAAAGAGATCAGGGTCTGGTGGGAGGGACAGGGTCCTCAGGTGCTTCTACCCCATGTAGGCTGCCCAGATGACAGGAGCTTGGGAAGGAAGGACTATGAAGGTAGGAGTGAGTCTGTGCAGCTTCCGGTGTTGGGTGGCAGCAGGGAGCAGGCTGAGGTAAGGCTACTGAGTCACTATCCTGAGCAATCCATCCACCATGGATAAGCCTCTGGTGTGCTGAAGGGGGTTTTACCCTCCAACAAGGAGTTTACAGCTAGGGGTCGGGTGTGTGTAGGGTATACCCTTGCTTGGAAGCCCCCAGACCTTCCCTCTCATATCAAGAGTGACCAAAAGGAGGCCTGGGAGAGGAAGAGAGAACATTTCCAGGTGGAAACTATAACCCTGGTGCTCCCTAGGAACACAACGCCCAGGACCCAGCATAGCACATGCAGGCACGGCACCAGGCAGGCACGGCACCAGGCGGGCACGGCACCAGGCGGGCATGGCACCAGGCAGAGGCATTCGAGCCAGATTGGGGAAACAACACGTTTTGCTATATCATGGACAAAAAGGGACAGGACACTAGAGATGCAAGTCTCCCAGTACGTCTGCTGGTCTCCCAGTATGTCTGCTGAAGTGGAAACAGCCTGAAAGGGAACTGAAACCTCCCTAAGCACAAAATGACCTCCTCTATGCCCTGGTCAAAGTGTTCCCTCTATCCCAAATGAAGCTAGCACACAGGACTTTGGATTGGCTGGTTTCACCAGCCTCCACGACAGCTTCACAGTCATGAGACAGAACTGTGCAAGGATGTGGCAAGGTGAGCTCTTGTGTGGGAGCTGCTGGCACCAGCACTCCCCACCCGGCACGAAGGCAGGTTTCTCCTATTCTCCCCACACACTGAGGTCTCTCGTCTTCTCCTAGGACACTGAGGTCTTTGGTCAGTTAGGGACAGGCTTCTGATCTCTGCAGTTCCCTAATCTCTGACTTCCTCGGATTCCACAGGCTAATGTTTCAAGGAATGGCACTTGAATTCCAAACTCATTTCTGAATTTGGTCAACACACCTGAAGCCAAGAGGCCCGGGGACCAGGACATTGAGAGCTCATGTCATTGTGTCTGGGGGCAGATCTAAGAACCACTCTGAATCAGGCCAGTATACAGCCTCAAACCTCACAGGGTTCTGGGTCTCCTGTATGAATCCAGGTCCTGATCTTCCAAAAGTTTCTTGGGCAAGCTGCCGGTGCTCACACCCACCCAGTCTACCCTGTGTGGTCTTACCCCATTCCCCATGGTCTCCTGGGCGCTATAACAGAGGGGTTAGGTTTTTCCTTCTCTTTGGAAATAAATAGTCTTCAACTAGAAACAAGCCTTGTACAGATGGTAAATAATGAGTCCTTCCAGAAGCCAGTGAGGCCTGTTGGAAAAATACAAATGAAGCCTCTTCAAGCCCTTTCCTCCTGATGGTACATTCCCTGGAAGGGGTAGAACGCACACCCGCCCTTATTTGGAGGTCCTTGGAGGAAATGTAGGTTACAAATACCAGCTGTTTGTAGGCCAGTAACTGAGTTGGCAAACTCCATATTCCTAATATGGAAGATAGCAGGAGGCAAGGTTGCGTCTTCAGCTTCCTAGGCTAAGGGCCCATGGGTATGGGTAGGCCAGGCCTTAGTAGCAGAACCAGGCTACCTGAGAGGAGGGACTCCACCGGAACAGAGACCCAGCAGACCCTGTAAGAGACACAAACTGCAGAGTCCTCTTTGAGGCCTTCCTTATCTGGAGCAGCTAGCCCTCCTGTCAAACTCCTCCCAAAAGACTAGTCTCTGCTCAGCCTCTCTGGCCAGCACGTTCTGTAGACTTATGGTACCTCTGTGTTCCTGGCTCAGCCTAGAAAGATAAGAAAAGTTCCCAGTGCCACTGGGCTATTTGTAATAGGACTAGAGGGCCTCACAGAAGAAGACCTGGAAGGAGCTCTTGGAGAGAAGGCGGAAGAAGGCAGCTGCTTGCTGGGGGAGCAGCTAGCATACCTCATTATACGGATCGGGCCACTAGCCATCCACACAGCAGTGGCAGAGCAGACCACACTCAGGTTAGGAGTGGCATGGTTTTGAACTCGTATCACTGAGGCCTTCGGTTTGGGAGGGAGGGTCATGCAGGGCACTGGGGTGCTGTTGTAAGAGCCAAGCTTTCTAGAGACTCACTTCTGCCACCACCTGCAAAGTAGCCCTTTCACTTTCCCTGAACTCTGAGGTCATCAGCTGACTAGTCCCTAATAGCAAAGTAGGGAGAGTAGGCAGCCCACCCAACACCCAGCCAGTTGTGACTGCAGTGCTGAATGTACAGGAAGGCGGAGCAGAGCTGCCACTGCAGGCTGTGAAGAAGAACACCCTCCATGCTGCCCTGGCTTCTGCTGGTGTCTTCAGTCCAACACTGACGTCCACCTTCAAGGGGTGATCTCAGTGTGCGCAGGAATCTCTGGTCACCCAGGAAAAGGGGCTACCCTATTCCACAACAAATCCTTCTTCACCAATAGTTACATCCTGACGTCTCCATTCCCAAGAAAGGCGGCATTCAACAGTGCCGAGAGCTCCGCCTCAGCAGACGGGGTCTGGGGAACCATCAGCAGACGGGGTCTGGGGGAACCGTCAGCAGACGGGGTCTGGGGAAACCGTCAGCAGACGGGGTCTGGGGAACCATCAGCAGACGGGGTCTGGGGAAACCGTCAGGGCTCACTCTCATCTCACCGTACCTTCTCCATTCACTGGCTCGAAACGTGGGGGAGGGGTACCTGGAACTCCCAGGTCCTTGACTTCGCTGCTGCCAACGGGCTGAGAAAATGTGTCATGGCAGGTGGAGGAGTTGGACCTGGAGAGTCCAGGAGGCTGGACTCTAGGAGTCTGTTACCAGTGACTAGACAGTGACAAGTGGGACACTGGACAGCAATGTGAGCGCTGAGGGCCTGTAGGGAGCGGACAAAGCCCCAAGTCAGGGAAGTCCTGAGTGTGTACGGGTGACATGGGCACTGCCATTTCAAAGATGCCAATGCTTCACCCCACAGTGGCAAAGCCTTACCTGGGTGAGGCTCAAGAGGGACGGCAAAGCTTTCCTTGGGAGACTGAGGACAAACGAGGGACCAGTGTGTGCAGACTAGCCGACCCTCTACCTAATAACCACACTGAGGTTCCAGGTTGCTGGGGTGGGAGCTGTGGCTCTCCCAGTGTGCATGTACCCCACCAGATCCCTGCTTTCCTGGATGAGTGTCTGTCCTTTATTCCCTAGTCAGGGCTTGGAGACCCATAGGAGGAGAGAAGCTGCAGCGTGTGTCAGCCAGCAGGAGACATCCAAA